TACAATATAATTTAATCCTCATTTGAAATCAGAAAAAAATAGTTTTATCTGAATGCACGATGTCATTAAACTTACTAAATTCGTTGATAAGAAATTGATTACCGTCAATAATCTGAATATCAAACACCCAAAAGTCTTCTTCTCCAACCAAACCAAAACCATTTCTTGTTCCATAGGAAACATCCGACGTACTGATTTTAGGAATTGTTGAGGTCATCCATAAGAAATTCGTGGTCGTCAATAATATACGCACAAAATATTTCAAGGGAGATCTTCCATCTCAAAATCATGGTTAGTTTGATTTGAAATGTCAAATATCAATTTCGGGAACCGTGGTGAAGAATCTTCACAAGAAACTCTCTCTCTTTGGTTCAGAACGCACTCCCATGCAATGCAATTACTGCAAACAACGAACTCTGCATCTGCATGCTAGGTCATGTACACACAGGGAGAGAGAAATAATGAGAGAGAATTGGTGATGTATTAAACGTGTATGTATATTATATTATATGAGGGCACGGAGATGTCGTGTCTGCGCATTGAAAGCCACCTTCTTGAAACCTCCATCTCACAGACACAACTTGCAGACTTTGCTCAGTGCAGTGCAGTGCAGTGCCCCATAGTTATGACCTCTCTCTCTCTCTCTCTGTGTATGTTATCACTTTTCAAAGGCTTTGGATTTTGTCGTTTTCAATTTAAAAGTATGCACCATAGTTTTGTTGAATTGTATAGAAGTTTTTTGTATGAAAAAACAATATCAACCTCACATTCTAAATATTCTGCAGTTGCAACTTGCATAGGGTGAATAAACTATATTAGAAATGGTTAATTATGGGTAAACGAGTTTTAATCAATCTGTGAATTTTGTGTAGTTGGAAAAATTTAAATAGACGGCTATTTGTAAAACTGTTTGTCATGCATAAACTAGTAAGATCTCATTCATTTAAATTTGAAAAAATAATGTGTATTTTCTTGAAAAAAATTATAAATATTTTTCCTGAAAATTCAAGACCTAAGCAGCTATTAACCATTCCGAAATGCCATCGAACTACCTTGATCAAGGTCGTGAGTGACAAAGCTCTTAATAAAAGTTTTACCAGATTTTAATAAAAGTCGATGGAACGTGTGATTTTGCAGGTACTATGAAATATATGGTTAAAATTGAAATTTGATCGTTTCAAAAGTCGATATCTTTAGCACAAATTTATCTAACAAGATTCTATATTTAAGCTGTCAAATGAATAATAGAATGGAAAATAAGGAATAACCACTAGTATGGACATAGAAGGTCTTCCCTCATCACCTGTCTCATATGAAAGCTAATCAATAACTCTTCATTTCCTTTTAGGAAGTCCATGGTAAGTGATCCCAGAATATAGTATATTGATCTTTGATTCCTGTTTGGCAAAAAGAATGACCATAAACTGGATCTTGGAAAAGAAAAATATGAACGCACAAAACTAAGTACATTTGTTTGTCGTTCTTTATATGTAATCTGGACATAATTAAAGAAGAAACACGTGTTAAATAGTTGTCCATTGTTTCGTTAAATTTTGTTCAAATATCACGTTGTCGAAGCATGTAGGCTAAGCTTAATAATATTTTATTAGTGAAATTGAGAACAAAAATACTTCCTTTTGTAGTCATATTTCATGCTTATTGATCATTATGAGTTATCACTGTGTAACCAGGGGTGGATCCAAGACGGAAGTTCAGTGGGGACGAAACCAAAGAATCTTGGAAAAAACTCTGAAACCTAAAAAAACCTGGATAAAAAGGAAACTAAAAAAATCTGAAGAAAAATCGAGAAATTTGAAAAGTGGGTGGGGACAATCTCCCCCATTGGACCTCATGTAGGTCCGCTTCTGACTGTAACCTACAAAGACAAAATTTCAAAACCCCTATGAGTCCATTTAAGGTTTGGAACAAAGGTCGACAACACATTTATTGATTTGGTTTTTAGTTCTGTGAAAAATAGATGTACTACTTGCTTAGGTTAGTAAACTACACGAATGGCCGCTAAACTAATAGCGAAATTTCATATCCATCACTAATTTTTTGTTTCAATTGTTCATGTCCATTAGATGGCTGTGGGTCCATAGGATCTTCTATTGTACAGACCACCATAAATCCATGTCTGGAGCGGCTACAGATCCGTAGCCCGTCTACAAGACTAGACAATATTTTAAATGGAAAAAAGAATGAAAATTTAGTCTCGTTTAATCTTCATTTTTAATCACATATTTTATGAACTTTTATTAAAACTTACCAAAAATCTAATTTTTACGACTTAGTTTATTATCGTATAATATATAGCCATTGTTTGATTTACATTCTTTCAAAAATATATTTTTATCTCTCACATTTTCAACAAAATAATATTATACACAAATTCAATTTTTTTAAAATTTTTTAATTACACATTCTCCATTAATTTACTATTGTAAAATACATTCTTAATAAAAAAATGTGGCTCAAACTGGCGCTATATACTAAACTTGCATTTACAAAAAGTTGTCGTCTTTATCCTAAAACCACTCATCATCGTCAAGACTTCTCTTGTGTAACAAAATAAATTGTTGTTAAAATCCAATTAATTTTAGATAAGCAAGCGTAGCTAAGCTTAAAACAAGTAAGTTTACACGAAGTCCATCAATAAATAAAATGAATACATTCACGACAACTATAAAATCAACTTTACCAAAAATCATGGTAAAGTTTTCCACAGTGGTCACGAAAGAAGTTATGGAATAACAAAATTATGACGCCATTTGTAATAAATTTTACATAACTAGTATACGTGAAACTCTAGTATTGTTACTGTAAAATCTCTCATCTCTTAAATACACGATAATAATTAACATCTTAGAGATTAGGCTGCCCATTTTACAAGGTTGTTGTTTACACTCGTCGCGTGGTGACAAGAAGTATTATCAAGACAACTACTAAAGTATAGTTGTCTTCATCTCTAATTTTGTATTCCTCAAGACGGGAAAAGTCTAATTGGTTTTCAATTTTACATCTTTTTTTTTTATACCCAGATGTCCACATTTGACGACTAATCCCGGGGTCTACGCCTTGGCCTCTCAAGATGCAGACCAGGTAAATTATGGGATGTGCCCCAAACGGGCCAGGTCCAAGACCCCCCTCCACTGATCTGCCAAAGTGTCGAGCGAGTCAACACATGTTGCACCTTGTTTTCCATTAGAACTCTCGCCTTCCAAGATGAATCCTGCCTTCCAGGAGAAAGTCTTCCTTCCAAGAGCCCCACGAATAGAACTCGCGACCTCCGAACTGCTAGCAACTAAGAGTCGTCCTTTGCCAGTTGGGATGTGCCCCAGGGACACCATTTTACATCTTTAGTAGCAGGTGAGGTTGCCTCTCCCTCATAAGTATGTACTATGTTTTTTTCTAAAAAAACAAACGACAAATGTGGTTTACAAGAGAGAAACGGAGAGAGGTTTATAATGGAATTTCAAAAATCTACTTTACATTAGATCTTTAAAAGCTCAAAAGCGTGTAAATTCTAAGATGAGTGGCAAACTTAAGAGTCTCTCAGAATTGTATTGAGCGTTAAGAGAAGGAATAATACAGGAAATCGAGACTGGACACATGATGTGGGATAAGAGGTAGAAGTTAGAACAACCCGACATGAATAAGCATGTTTTTGTCTTTGTTTGACCTCCATTTTTTATTTAAATTACATTTTATGAGATTCATAAATTTTATCAAATTTTCAACTGCCTATTTCATTAATTTTTATCAAAATATCTACTTAAAATATATTTTTTATCCAAATCAAGCAGAAGCTTTGTGATACTGTAGAGTGAGCAAAAGTATCGAATTTAAATTTTATCGATACATGTTTATAAAAAAAATTCTTTCACGTAGTGCATTGACGTCTTAAGAATATAATTGAAGTACAATGTAAATTCTTTCCATCTTCACGTTTAAACATTTTGAATTAATTTATACATCTTCGAAAACAATACAATATTGATGAATTTAACTTAGGCCATCCGTCCCATTTATGTAGGCTAACTTTCCTTATTTTCTCGTTTCCATTATATAATCTTGTTTCTTTATTGAGAATGTTTTGTTCATTTATTAGTACACTCTTATTTCTTTACTATCTTCAACAAAAAAATATTATTAATTGTTGATAATTAAATAAGGGTAAATTATGAAAGTTTTTAATAAAAGTTAATTTTTTAATAATATTAAATAAAAATTTTTAAGTCGTGTGAAAAAAAAAAAAACGATTTATATAGATGTGATGGAAGGAGTATTACTTTATCCGTGGACAGTACACATTTACTCTTAAGCTTTCAAATCACGAGACAATTGATTAATGATTATTGAACACAGTAGAAGTAAAAGTTCTACTCAGAATCTTTACCAGCTTTTTAACTTTTATCATACCAAGTGCAAAGACGTAAATATTCTTAAATTTGAGTATCTACTCAGTATCGCAGTCTCATTTATATATCCATTTCTCCCTTGCATAAACCTTCACTCTGTGTGTGTCTCTCTCTCTCTCCTTCTGGAAATAACCCTCCAAAGAGTCCACATTCCTTTCCCTTTGCCCTTTCCCTGTTTACTCCAATGTATATTTTTCGTCAAATCCATGCAAAAACCCCATATGATATTAGATATTGATGTTGATATATTGGTCCCTTTCAATCAGTTCATACAATATTTCTTGTTATAGTTACTGCTTTTAGCCCTTCATTTTTTCTTGATCTTCCGGCGAGCAACAAACTTAGCCCCTACCCCGGAAAACCACCAAGCACGCGTTGGCGCGGAGTCAGAATGACCAACTAGCATGCATGTTTGGTTAAGCTTAAAAGTTACTAAACGTGTTCAGTTTTTCAAAAGTCACACTATGTTATAATTTATTTCAAAAACTTGCGGTTTTATACAATAAGTCTTTACTTTCTTTCTGAAAAAAGAACTCTCTTTCTTTTTAATCAGTCGACATTTCTGTAAGGTGTCTTCAAATGGATGGTGAGAATTTATTCGACTTTTTTGAGGATTCTGAGTTTGCTATTGTATCTAACCTTGGCGGGGGTGGGGTAAACCCGGCGTCATCGGACGATATTTTCAGTATTCTCGAGGCTTTAGACGGGGTTTCAGACTTTAATCAGGAGTCAGTACCAGTGAATGAAGTGGGATCATTGGTTTCTCAGAAGTCGAATGCTTCAAGTGTTTTTCAGGAATCTGAAACTGAATTTGAAGCTTCGCCAAAATGCAAGAAACAGAAGGTGATTGCAACAGATTCAACGGAAGCCGCCATTGATGGACAACAAAGAATTTCTCATATAACAGTGGAAAGGAACAGAAGGAAGCAGATGAATGAGCATTTGACTGTCTTGCGTTCTTTGACGCCTTCATTTTATGTTAAAAGAGTAAGTGTCCTTTTATTCTTACGTTCTTCTAGTTTTCGTTAGGATTAAGCTCGATTTTGGTACGTACATAAAAAGGAAGCTTGCTATTTATACTTTTCTATTTTGGCGTATCAAACATACCGAAAGTGAGGTAGGATTGTGCTATAGGTGTCCACAATAAAAATTGATAGCATGTTGTTAAGATTTGAGATTCCATTTTAAAATACTAACTTATTAAGAGAAGTAATCCAAACTCTTATAAGTTGGTTTATATTTTTATCTTTATTCGATGTAAGATTTTATCTCTTAACATGCCCCCCAATATGGTGACTCATTTTTTAGCAAATCCACGTGCTCATTTTTTTGAATCTTAATCGGATCGAATTGCTCGATGGAAATTAATGTACTCTGATACCATGTTAAGACTTGAAGTCCATCTAAAAATGTTATCCTTATTAAGAGAAGTAGCCTCAAAGCCTTATAAGTTGGTCTATATTTTCATCTTTATTCAATATGAGATTTTATTCCTTAACATGCTCTGCAAGATGGTGACTCGTTTGATCAAATCAATCTTGAAATTCATGTAGTTATTTTTTGAGTCTTAATTCAATTCGAATCGAATCGTTCATTGAAACTTAATGAACTCTGATACCTTGTTAACTTGAGGTTCCATCTTAAAAGATAAACATTATTAAGAAGAGTAGTTCAAATCCTTATAACTTAGTCTGTGTTTTCGTCTCTAGTTGACGTGGAATTATCTCTTTACGCATTTTTGGCTTATAAGCAAAAAATGGCTTCTTTTTATCTTATTCCGGCAGTATGCTTTTTTCTTGCAATCAAGAGCGACACTCCGTAAATAAGCAACCTTTTTAGAATGACCAAAGCCAAGTAAGAACTTCAAATGATTCATATTGCAATATTTGAAGTCACTGTTATCCTTCAGAGGGACCTTTGGCACGCAATACCAAATGGAATTAGCTATACAATGTACTAACTTTTTTAAATTTTATAATATTGTCTAGAACTAATGAGTCTGCCTATGAAACATACTCTAACTGTATTTCTAACATACACGCCTCTACTTCTGAGTAGGCCGATCAAGCGTCGATAATCGGAGGAGTCGTTGATTACATCACTGAACTACAGCAAGTTCTAAAATCCCTAGAAGCCAAGAAACAAAGAAAAGCTTCCACAGAAGTTTTAAGTCCTCGATTGGTTTCAAGTCCAAGACCCTCGCTCCTTAGTCCAAGAAAGCCTCCATTGAGCCCCAGATTAAACCTACCCTTAAGCCCAAAAACCCCACAGCCAAACAGTCCCTACAAAACCTGGCTACATTCACCAACCAATTCTTCTTCCACTTCCTCCATCAATGACAGTGTTAATGAACTTGTTGCAAATTCAAAATCGGCAATTGCTAACGTGGACGTCAAATTTTCTTGTCCAAATGTACTGCTCAAGACTGTTTCTCCAAAAATTCAAGGCCAAACAGCGAAAATAATTTCTGCACTTGAAGAACTGTCCCTGGAAATCCTCCATGTGAATGTCAGCACAGTTGGGGACACGATGAGAAATTCTTTCACTATTAAGGTAATTAAAAATAAGCAGAAATGCAACTTATTTTCATCTTCTTGTGTCATTTTTAGTTCAAGAAAACAAATTTTAAGACAATATTATCCAGGTAAAAAAAAAGTAAAGAACACTAGTCCACACTTGTTGAACTAGTTCATCTAAAGCCTAAGTTAAACGAAGTCTCCGTGTAGTCCTAATTTTAAAAATTCAATTTTCGTCAAAATTAGTTTCAATTACGCATTTCATGAGATTCACAATTTTTTAACCACACATTTTATCAACTATAATCAAATTTTGATTCTTAACTAAATCAAATATACTAAAATTTTGATTCTTAACTAAATCAAAGCATGACATAATGTAAGTCAGATTCATTTTTTCATCAAAGCTTTCTAGACATTTAGAGTCCTCTTCAATACATCCCTTGCATAATAGTGAATTCATTATTTTCATGATAAAAGTATGATATATGCACAATTTCAATAAATGGGTAAAACATTAAGTTTCTGATTGGTGGGATTAAAATTAAGATTTAATTTAAGTCAAAATCAGCTATAAATTTCAATTACATATTCCATGAAATCCAAATTTCCCAACCACATATTTTATCAATTTTTATCAAAATCGACTAAATTTGTTTTTTATCCTTAACAAACAAGGGCTAAGAGTGATTGTTGAACATGGGAGATTCGTCCATTTAAGAATTTTTTAATGTAAATGAATTTATGGTCAGGAAAGAAAATTTAAGAAGTAACATGTGTTACTGGATTTTCCTAAATGAAACTTAACTATTTCATATATACTCTTGGAAAGAACATTTTTCACGAAAAACTAGGGACGTGTTTTTTCCTTATTAGTAATTACCATTATTATTTTCCACAAATTTATTTAGGCATTCTTGTTTTACATACATAATTGAATAAAGTGTTAAATAATATTGAATCGAAGCTAATGACTGAATATATATCTCTCTTTGTAGATTGGAATTGAATGCCAGCTTAGTGCAGAGGAGCTCGCTCAGCAAATTCAGCGAACATTCTGCTAAGTTCACCAATACTTGTTTCCAATGTGCTTTGTTCAGTACGCTGAGTTAGAGACGATCTCTTGTTCTTTAACATTGTCTCATACTGTACAATTTTCCGACATGACATGCGTGTTTACTATGATCGGATCCCCTTTCTTTCTCTCGCTGTCATTCACGCACACAAACACACACACCGAAAACTCACTCACTCAGAAGAAATAAAAGCAAAGGTGGGAAAGCATCAACCACCATTGCTGTTACTGACGTAGCTTTTTATCAGTCATGACTAGTTTTTTAATTTTTTTTAGTAACACTATTCTACTTTGAAATCGATCTCGATATTCATCTGAAAAAGTAAAGGATCAAATTGCCACGTGTGAGTAAAAACATTAAATAAATGAAGAAAAACAATGATTTGAGGGTCAATCGATTTGGTTTTTATAACATTGATATAAACATGTAAGCAAAATCAAATCAATCTCAAAACAAAATTATTTGAGGTGAACAAGGAATGTGCGGGGCGTGGGGTTTGTTGAGAAATTGGACCAAATAATTAAAGACGAGAATGATATGAGTAATATGCAAATAATTGAGTACAAATAAAACAAGATTTACGTGAAAATTCAAATCAATAGTAAAGGAGCACAAGGGTTCTCACTCGACCAAACTAATAAGTTGAATAATTGGTCAATTCAATATGTGTTGTATACCACATATTTATAATCAAGGAATCCCTAACATACCATATGAATTAATACATGAAGAGTTTAATACAATGTGAAATCTCAATACATTGGATAAAATCAATAATGGGGAATTTGAAATGAAATAGGAGTCAAATTCACCTTAAATTCTTTCAAGACATTTGCAAATCTATTATCAACTTTCAATACTCCTCCAACAGCATTTTTAATCAAATACTCAAAGAGAAGTAGGGTTACAATTCAATTCTAACAAATTCCACCTTGACTCGAATTTCATTGCAAGGAATAAAAATTTAACTTTTTAATTTCAAAAAAAAAAAAAATCTCTTAACAAAACACTTCACCAAATTATCCCCCCCACTTCCACCAAATTCCAAGCTCTACTTACCACCATAATTACATTGTGCCCCAAACCTGCTTGAATAATCCCGTTCATTACTGCTCTAACTGAATCACCAAACTTGCTCGAATCACCACGAGCAACACCAACTCTACCCGAGTTGTCAAACCTGCTTGAATCAACATGAGTACCATGATCAACAAAATCACAACTAGCTCCACTTGAGCTACACGAAGATTCCCCAATATTATTGTTCAAATCACCACGAACAACTCGATCTCAACCAACTCTACTCAAGTTATTGCTTATTGAACCATAAGCTGCAGTTGCATCCAAATTGATCATTGAACCTTCTAAGATATATAACAGAAAATCTTATTGCAATCCAAAAGTGAAATCTCAAATTTCATAGTTGTTATCCCTAAAACAATTAACATTATTCAAACCTCGTTTTAATAACCAATTTGGACCTCCCAATAAACCGTTGAAAAACATTTGTTCTGATACCACTTGTTGGAAACAAACGAGATATCGGAATCGCTCTAATACCATTTTGTTGAGAAATCGGGCTAAATAATTAAAGATGAGAATAACATGAGTAATATGAAAATAATGAATCACAAAGAAAACAAAATTTACGTGAAAACTCAAATCCAAAAATACCATGGACAGAAGCAGAGAATTAACTATAATCAATAGTAAAATGGTACAATGGATCTCCCTAGACAAAACTAATAAGTTGAACAGTTGGTCAATTTCAATATGTATTGTACACCGCATATTTATAATCAAAGAATCCCTAATATATTAGGAAAATTAATACATGAAGAGTTTAATATAAGTAAAGTCCTAATACAGTGGGTAAAATCAATAATGGAGAATTTAGGATGAAATAGAAATCAAATTCACATCAGACTCCTTTAAGACATCTTCAAGTCTACTGTCAACTCTCAATATTCCCTCAACAGTATTTACAATCAAATACTCAACAAGAAATTCATATCAAAGCCCAATTCTAATAGGGTCCTAGGTTTGTCGGGCCACAACTCATTAAACGGCAACATAAACTAGGACATTAAGTTTGAAAGTAAGCTGCCTGAAAGTGCTAAGAGTATACATTCCATTTTTAGGCCAAAATGCATTATAAAATTGTGTTTTGTTGGAAAATGTGTGGTAAGAAATTTTAAAAAAATGTTTACGTGTAAAATTATTTTATTTTCACGTGGGGTTGAAAATAAGTTTTGAAAAAAATGAGTTTTTTGTAAAAATGGGGGTCAAACATAAGTTAAGCCCATGTTTGAGCCACATTCTCATTCATGTACTCATTTTCAACCAATATTTTTCAATAAAATAATATTTTTCATCACATCAATAACTTTTCATTCGTTTTCAACCACATATTCACCATCACATCACCAAAAAAAATGCATTCCCTCCTAAAAAATGTCCATCAAACACACGTGGTCAACACCATGAAAATGCACGTTAGAATCCTAAACGCCATAGTCATTGATCTAATTCCTCAAGATTTTACAATAAAACGAAAAAACTGATACAAAAATGTTCTACAAGTAGAAATTAGTGCACATAATCCAACAATGCAACATTTTCTGTAAATGCATTTGTTATAGAGGTTTCGCTATGTGCACAATGACACCTCGATGTACAATGTTCTACAAGTAGAATTTAGTGCTCATAATCCAACACTGCAACATTTTCTGTAAATGCATTTGTTATAGAGGTTTCGCTATGTGCACATTGACACCTCGATGTATAGCCCTCCTCACAATAGGGGATTTGCGATTTTTTTTATTGATCGTGAGCCCTCTCAATTGTGGGGGTGTAACTCCGGTGTAGGGATATCAATGTGGTTCGTCGGCTCGGGTGGCCCGTGACTTGACCCAAGAAAAATCCTAAAAAATAATAATAATAATAAAATAGTAATCTACAAAACTTTAAAAGAAAAAGTTTGAAAACATCTGCCGGCAACAAAAAATTAAAAAATAATAAAAAAAACATTACAGTTGCTGGCCTGCTGCCTTGTCAAAGGCAACACAGCCTCTTGTGTTGCGTGCAACTCAAGAATTATTAAAAAAAAAAACCGGTTTGGCTCGCTAAGGACTAGGGATGTCAATGGATTGGATTTTGATCCGAATTCGATTCGAATCCGACGAAATTAATGGGAGATGGATTTAGGGTATCAGTTCGATAACTCGATCAAGATCTGAATCCGATAATTCTTTAACTAAATGGATCAAATATGGATATAGGTCAATCCGATCCGATAACAATTCGATTTGTTATAAATAATTTAGTCAGTAAAATATTTTTATGTCATATTATTTGTCATTAAAATAAATAAATGAAAAAATAAATAAATTTAGAATAAAAAATAATCAAATTCAAACCATAAAAAAGTTAATTTTTTTTATAATTATTAAATTTGTTTAAGAATTGAATATTTTGAAAAAAAATAATTTTGATTTCAACCAATATTTTAAAAATCGACCCGGGAATCAACCTGAAAAATGAAGAGGTTCAAGGGTCAAAAAGTCGAATCGGTATCGAATCGGTTGTCAAATTGAATAAATAACTATACCCATAAATGTAAAATATTATAAAAACAATAGATTTTTTT